TTCTACAACTGTTTTTCTGAGTTATTGGTACTTTTAATTTTACAGTTTTTGTTTATATTGACTTTCATCATTTCAAAACATATTTTCTGTATGCTGAAAAAGTATACATCTATTTGAGATGATTTAAGTATATTATATAATAAGCTACTAGTTAAAAAATAAGTGAGCTAGTGTAATATGAACATACACTGAAGTATATCTGCTGTCATATATAGTGTTTGACATAAATGGTTTTGCCAGTTGACTGAAATTTCTGCACGTGGATGTGTGGTAGGTTTGAGAAAATTGACTTTGGTTTCCATTTTGTACATTGCTGTCAGCCAGTCTCCCTTCTTTTCCTGATAAGTTGTCTGAACATTTTGTTATTACCACTGAATTAATGACAACCAGATGCCTTGATGGGAGTGTGTATATCCATTGCAAGATAATTGTGGCATTGAGTCTTTGATGACATAAATTCACTTGATTGAACATTCTCAAATGAGGGAATAACGAGAGAATCATCCTCCCCTTTCACCCCAAACATAATGTCTCCGGCTTCTGGCATGGGAGTGGGGCTCTAATAGAATTTGAGTAGATCCCACTGGGCATTGGGTTGGATGGTACAGAAAGAAGCAGCAGGATGTAGGCGGTGGCCTTAAATTCTCTGCGTTCTGTATCAGGCTCCACTCTGCATCTGGTGTTTCCCAGGGTATCCAGTGCCAGTGTCATACAATGCCACATCTGTTTTCAACAAATGTCTAAGCACCAAGTTCTTAAAATTCTGGCATGGGAACCTGGCATCCAGTATTTCCAGAAATAGATTTGAAATTTAAGCAAAAATGGGGTTAACAAATCTTTTGTTAATTTTTCTGTTTAGGATTTAGACTTTTATTTTGCTCTTTTCAGTCTGTAATTTGAAAATGTAGTTTTAACCAGTTGTGGTTTGATCCTGTTGCTGCAGGTTCATTCAATAACCCATTCAGTGTCTTACCGAGTAGTTGCTGTTAATTCTAATCTGGATGTTGGATATGAAATCATTGGTATGAATATTTTGAGTCACTATAAATAAAATAGGGATCTTTTTATTGAAGACAGATTTGGTATTTAGAACCCCACAATGAAAGTACAGTCTGGGTATTTTAGTTTCTAAATTAATTTCCTTAATTTTTACAACATTGCTGTATAAGGTAGACATCACTATCTTTTCATAAATGAGGAAAATTGAGATGGAGATAAACTAACTTCCTAGTAGTCATACAGCCAGGAACCATGACAGCCAAGCTTCTACCAGGCTGATCCCAGCGCCCACTGGCTGTCCTATTTCGGCAGGCCTGGATCTGCCCTGCCAGCCTGGCCATGGACCGAGCAGTGCTGATGACAGGACTCTTGCTTTTGGAAATGCCACATTCAGTGATGGCAAATTAAATGTGAGATGTTTACTCCAGCATCTATTTTTATCTTTGTGCTCTCTTCAGTAATATGATTTTGCCCAATAAATTTTTGCACTAATTTTTAAATCTAGTTTATAGTACTTCAAAAGTTAAAAGTTTGCCTTGTTCCTGACCTAGGTCTATTTTTTTTTAAATAAAAATAGTGCTCACAATCAAACTGTAGTTAATAGCTTATTTAGAATTTTCTTGAAAAATTTAGCATTCACATTCCATCCCAGGTTTAAAAATTTATATATACCTGCAGGTTATTTTTAAACATTTATTGACTTATAATTAACTTTTAAACAAGTAATATATTCTGCTAGTTTCAAATGCAAGTGGCATAAAATAACAACAAAATAGTAGTAAATAGGATTATGTAGCACTATGTATACCAGACATTCATTTAAGCCTTTTTTTTTTCTTAATAAACACTTTATCAGGGTACATGAAACTGTAAAGATCATTCACAGACTTACAGACTTTTTAAAAAATATATATAGTCCTGCAGCTATTACCATATTCTGGTATTAGAACTTTGGCATCCGCTCAGATTTCCCACTGTGCCCACTTGTGCGTGGGTGATAATTCCATCGGTGGTATTTTCTCATAGCTGCCTTTTCAGCAATCAACATAATCCTCACTGCTGATGCCGTAGGTGTTACCTCTCCTGTCATCCTCACTTTGTAAGTGAGTGAACTGAAGCAGGAGAGGTACACCTGATCAAGTTAGTCTGGGTTTTGAGGTTTTGTCAGATGTCACCTGCTTTGGGAAATCTCACATGAACATGACTCTTTCTCCTGGGCAGGGTCATTGCTTACCTGCAGCCAAGCATTTTTCTTTCTCTGCACTTGTTAGAGTTAGACTGTAAGCTTCCCTAAGATAGCTGACTTGCCCTTGTCTTCTATGCAGACCCAGAGCTTCGTACAGTTCTGGGAACTCACTAAGTACTTAAAAAGTACCATTTTGCCAATACACTTTGCCCATTAAAAAAATGAGTATATGCTTTGCTTTCTTCAAGGAATTACTCAAAAGACCAAATGAGAGGACATACTGTTTGTCAGCTTCAGAGCACTGCACAAATAGATACTAAGGCAATTACGGCGCTGTCTATGCTTCATAAAGATGGATGCTTTTAAACTTCTGGACATTAACACCGGGGTGGGCACTCAGGGCAAATTGGACTATCACAATCAATGTATCACTGTGTTTTGCCAACCTGTTTTTAACCAGTGGCCTTAATGATTTCAAGTGGTTTTCGAATAATCTGATTGCATGCTTTCCTGCTCTACAGAAGGCAGAGAGATGTGCTTTTGTTCTGATGGTAAACACTGCAGACACACGCTGTGTAGGTTGTACAACTGGTTCTGTTATCTGATTCAGTGTCTCCCAGTGTTAGGCAACACTGGGAGAATCATGGCATTTAGTTTTGCTTTTACCTGAAATCCCTGGGATAGAATCTCAGGTGTGAGGGAGAGATCAACATAGGTAATTTTGATGAGTATCTAGGAATGAGGTAGATTTGGCCTATTTTCTAAATGTTCTCTAAAAAGGTGTTTAGTGTCATCACAGATATTTTAAATAAGAAATGCAGCTTCATATTTAATAGCTCTCAAGAGCACTGACATTTATTTTGTTATTCTGCTGTACATTTTACAGTCCATTTGTGCCAGAGCGTTTAGTGGATACTCTTAATTACTCAAAACCATATGGCCATGGCAAGCAGCTGATAAATGGCCTACGGATTTTCCAGTCTCAAAAGTCATCTTTGCTTTGCTTGGGAGAAATTTGGGGGTGGGGGGGCTCTGAATTTTGACTCTCACTTTGTTTTTACTAGACATTTTAGCTTTAAATGTAGACACTTTTTTTGGTTTGCTGGTAGAAATTAGAGGACATCTATTCAGGTTGGAGCCTTGATGAGGCTCATCAGTTTCTGTAAAAGGTCATCAGTTTGCCATCTGCTTGTCTAATGGTCTGAACATGTATCGCTGCCCTTGATAATAATGCACAGTACCTGAAGACTGACCTCTCAGAATAGAGCTAGGAATTGTCTGGTATCTGGCTCTTATCAAAAACTTCATCACAGAGAATTGTTGGAGCACTTGTGGTCTAACAATGTCTAACAATTTTATTCTAGAGCTTTCCCCATGTCAGGCTGAGTTGTCAGAGTCATAATTAAAAATATCTTACCTTTGTACCCTTAGTTTATTTCCTAGTTTATAAGGAGAGTTAAGTTCCCAATCACATGCCCTGAAAGTCTCTCCAGCAGGTACCTTAGCCAGCAGGAACATTGGTGGAGATACTTGAGAATTTGGGTTTTGTTCTTTTTTTCCCTATGTAATGAGTGTCACACTGTGCCAGTATGCTGGAATTTATTAAAACGGGCAGATTGGAAAGGTTTGATTCACTCTGCCTCTGTGTCGATCACAGTGAATGCAATTTTTTTTTAAGTGGGCTTCCTATACAAAATGAAAGGTCTTTTGTTCTTCTATTTTCCAGTACTTAGCATGAGTTCTCATCTTTTCCTTGTATTTCTTTCACTTTCTGACTTGTTTCTCTACCCAAATAAGCTAATTGTATTTTCATCAGAAAAAATAATATTCAGTTGATGATTTGTTTTATAAATGATACATCTCCTCGTTTTTACTAAAAACCTATACATATACAAGAAATGAAGAGAGACTTCACAATTTCTGAATGAAAATTCTGGATACCTTTGCAAGTGGGGGAAAATTGTTATAGTATTTTTACCTGTCAGAAATGAATTAACCAAAATCTTGAAAGCATAAACAGATAGGAAATTTGTTATAATATTTTTACCTATCAGAAATAAATCAACCAAAAACCTGAAATTTCAAACAGGTAGGAATTTGTGTTAACAAATCTCTTAGTGAAGGAAGTGGACTGGATGCCTCACAGAAGAGGATTTGTCCTATATTTTTCTCTCACTCTGGCATCCTTAGGGCCCAAGAAATTGTCCTCAGACTTTTCATCTTAAGGATGAAATGACGTCTGTGTTTCTAGGTGTTATTTTCCAAAATAGATGGGCAAGCAAGAGGTGAAAGTCTTTCTTCTTCCAAAGTTCCCTTTCACCCCCATACTATCAGGTAACTATATTTTATTGACCAAAATTATGATACACCACACCTTCTAGGTACAAGGGAGATGGGAAAGTATTACTTTTACTTTAAGCTAATGTAGCAAAAGAGTCAGAGACAAAGGCCTTTGAATTGCTGCTTTTACAGTTTCTGCACAGTTGTTCTTACTGAAAATGTATTATTTTTTTCAGTAGTTTGTCTTTGGTATGTCTACTTTTTTTCTGATCAAAATTAAAATCCCGTTTAATCTGAACCTGTTTATATATAGATAATTCATTTTTGAGATCAGATTAATTATGCCTTTTAATATTGAAATGATTTGGTAAACCAAATTCTTAAACCTATATGAGTAGTTTCAGTGCACTGCTCAAATCTATCCACATACATGAAATAAAACTCAGTAGAATTAATTAGGTTTTAGAAAAAATAATTGTACATTCAAGAATGATTTTTTTTTGTTTCTTTATTTTTGTTTGTTTTCCCCAAACAGGATTTTAAGAGTGGACTTGGAATTACCATAATTCCTATGAATGTTGCAAATGTAAAGCAAGTGGACAAAACTGTGAAACAATCTTTTGAAATAATCACCCCCTACAGGAGTTTTAGGTAAGTTACCCTAACTCATTATGTGCTTGGATTACTAGAGGGAATCTTGGGTGATGCACTTTATATTGCTGGTCGTAGTTTTATTTCATAGGAGACACAATGAAGTTATATTCTTTATTGCCTATTTTATCAATTTGCATATAAAAACACTTTATAAAAATGACTTGACCAATTATACAAACTGCAAAGCTACTAGTTTAATGAGAGTTGAGTAATTTCTTAAAATGCCTTAATTTCTTAGTGGTTTTGGTATGTTAATTGTTTTATCAAAAATTTATGAAAAATCCCTTCATATTCTGAAGATATATATTAAAAATAATATTTCCTTGTCTTTAAGTTGTACTGCTGTTTATCCTCTTTTAACCTAGTCAATTACAACATTTCCTTTAAGATCACTCCCTAATTACAGTTATTTCACAATGATTTCCTAAAAGGGACTCCAGCTAAAATAATGCTGAATTGAATGAATCTCGAAGCACTTATCAATAAAATCTCAACATTTTATCTAATGTCATTCTAGTATTTGCTTCTTTTTTCTTTTACAATGAACCAAAACAAAATTCTTAACCATGTTTAATAATCTATAACTCTCCAGCTTTGGTAAATGCAAGAACATTTGTGACGAATAATAAACATAGCACAGGGTAGCATGCAGGTGAGAGGCAGTTGCTGTTGAATGACTGACAGCAGTTGTGGGAACACTACATGCCTGCCACTCATTTTATCTGTAATGTTACATCTACTGACTCACATTTTGAGAAAACAGGAATCACACAGAAAATAATAAGCTTTGTCTTTACATTTGTAGTTTTAAGTACCAGTTGAATGTAGACATTAATTGGATTGTGCACATTTCACATTCCTGACAACACATTTGTACAGTTTTTCCTCATACCAAGTAACTGGACATCACACTGGGCATCCTAGAGTTCAGTCCTTTATTGACATCAACTACTACTGATTTAAAATTTTAGTCCCACAGGCATGTTTCTTTCAGACTCAGTCTTAGGGATTTGGTCCCCAGGTAACCTGCACTTCTGTCCTGCTTGACCATAGATGTGAAGTGGCCGTGACTTCCAACGCCCATGTTGATAATTTGGTGAAATGGCTCAGAACTCAAGAAAAGCTTATTATTACCAGCTTATAATAAAGAGTACATGTCAGAAATGGCCTATGCAAGGGCTGCACAAAAGCAGTCGGGATTAATGAGAACCCCTCTTCTCTTTGGGATATGTCACTTCCGAGCCCCACCCCTCCTTTCTGTCCACCAGCGCAGAGGTTCTCCAGACCCTCTGTTCAGGAACTTTTTATACGGTTAGGCGTCACCGAGCTCACCATTGGCTGTTGGTGATTAGCTCAACGGCCAGCGCACCTGCCTTCCCAGTGTCAGGTGTTAGGGCCAAGTTCCAGTCCTCTTCTGAGCCTTCGTCTTTCTGACTCCCAGCTTTCATCCTGGAGATGTCTCTTTGACAGGCAAAAGTCCCTTTTTTCAATCAGAAAAAAAACAAGGGTTTTAGATGCTAGGAACTAGGACCCAAAGACAAAGATCAAATGTCTTTTTTTTCCATTGTACCATGTTGCTGTGACTAATCTCTGTGTGGTAGAATAAGTCATAAAGAAGTTTGTTAAAGTGATGAGGGGGCCACAGAATGCTTCAAAAAATGTGAATCATGTAGGCTACTCATTATTCTTATAGATTATTTAGCATATTCTAATTATCTCTTAACTTCACTAAATGTCAAAGCTTTTCCATCTTTACGACAGAAAACCTTACTGTGACCTAGTATGTTGAATCTAGCACATAATATGGACTTAGTATTTCTTGAATGAGTAAATTGATATTTAATCCCTTTACTAAGGTATCAGTAAACACTGAGACTTAGAATAAATCAGAACATAGTTAAAAGTGAGTTAGTCTTCTGTTAGAGTAATCATTTAAAACTTTGGATTTCTCGGTTTCTTAAAGCCATCTGGACATTCATCTAATTAAAAAAAGAATCTATTTTTAAAATTGCAAAAATCAAATTTTCTGGTGGGTGTTCTTGATAATATAGTTTCTGACTATCATGGCATACTTTCTTGGCAAAATTATACAATAGTCCTGAAACTCTGCCAGTTCCTTATTGATTATTATATAATCATTGCTTAGGAAACATGGCCTAATATTTAAGCTTTTGACCTAACAAGGCTTTTGACTCCTGTCAGAAAAATGTATATGTTAATGTTGGTTCAAGATATGTAAACAAAGTCAGAAGTGTTGCAGAAAATTTAAGGAAAAAATAAGTTCTTATATTAGATGATTTTTAGTAGAAAAGACTATCCAACTGCCTGGGAGGCGTATTTTTCAGCTGCTGTTTAATTTGCCAGTGAAATGAATATGCAAACTGAACATACTGCTTAATTGGCCTTTACAAGGGAGATCGATAATGCAGAAACGTTAATTGTTTCAGCTTTACAGCAGAGTCTGAAAAAGAAAAACAGGAGTGGATTGAAGCTGTGCAGCAATCGATAGCAGAAACTCTCTCTGATTATGAAGTAGCTGAGAAGATTTGGTTCAATGAGTCCAACAGGAGCTGTGCAGATTGTAAAGCCCCGGATCCTGACTGGGCTTCCATTAATCTCTGCGTTGTCATCTGTAAGAAGTGTGCAGGTAACGAGGGCTAAGTGTGCACCTCACTGGCTGGTGGCAGCCTGGTGCTGACTGCTCTGTATTGTCATCTGTAATGTGTCCCATATAATAGTTGTGGGGAAAAAAAACAGGATGCTTATTCCATGTAAGCAAATGCAGATATAGCCTATAATTCACCAACTTTCTGAAAACCTTCCCTTTCCCTCCGTGGATCATTATCAATTCTCTTTCCTTTCATCGATAAGGTATTTTCAAGGCTAGTAGTTTGCACAAGATTTCTTCATTTCCTTCAGTTCTTCATTTTAAAATGTACTTTTTTACTCGTACAAGGTGGTGATGAAGGTGCTGTTTTCCTCATCTTAGTTGATTATGATTTCTGTATGATTACCATCACTGCTCTTAGAGGTGTTGGATTTAAGAAGTGTTGGTATATTTTAGGTTGAAAAGATCTACATATAGATATACTTTTTTAAAGGTAAACTCACTTTATACAATTAAAATAGGAACGCAATTGTTTTTTGTCGTCAGGACAACATCGATCTTTAGGACCGAAAGATTCCAAGGTTAGAAGTCTCAAAATGGATGCCAGTATTTGGAGTAATGAACTCATTGAGGTACGTTGAGTGAAACTGGTGATAGAGATCATTGGAGGGAGGAGGTACACAGTGAATGGCGTGGATTACCTCAGGAACTTTTTGATAAAGTGCTCACATCATAAAAATGGCTTGTAGGTTGCTCAATGGCAGTAAGTTTTTATTTCAACTTTCTTAGTGTCTCTTACATGAGGTAGTTATTTTAGAAATAGGACCTTTAATATTGGTAATTAAAGTGTTGACATCTTTTTATTTTAAGCTGTAATTTAATTATTTTTAACCCAGCATGGATAAATGATTAGAAACTGAATGAAAAATGAATTTGGCATAATTTACTATTCTGTATTCTTTGACCATGCTCTGTTACTAACTGTGATTATGTCTAACTTTTGGTTGCTTATTTCCATTTTCTTGCAACAGTATCTTCCCTGATCACATTAGCTCACCTACTCAACCATTTTAAATGAAACTGTCTCAGTGTGAGCTTCAAAAAAAAAAAAAATAATGCTCTTGCTACAATTTGCATTACTTGCATTTCCCTTAGTTAATAGTTGACTATTATTAAGAGCAGTTAGCATATTTCAAATAGGAATAATACTGGTTTTCATACTCTTTCATGCTTTTTTATATTTTTTTACAATTTATAGCTTATAAATTGTAATTTCACTAATTTATAGTTTCAGTTTTCTACATATTCAAGTGAATTTTATGAACTAATACAATTTACAATTTTTGACACTTCAGCTTTTTATTGTCATTGGAAACAAAAGAGCAAATGACTTTTGGGCTGGTAATCTTAAAAAAGATGAAGAATTACAAATGGATTCACCAGTAGAAAGGAGGAAAGACTTTATTACTCAGAAGTACAAAGAAGGAAGATTCAGAAAAACACTTTTGGCATCTCTCACCAAAGAAGAATTAAATAAGGTAACTCATAAAAATAACAATAGGCATAGCTTTTAATGTGCCCTAAGTATGTGCCAGGAATTTTGAGAAGAGGAGATTCTTCTATTTGATAACATTGTTTACTGTTACTTCATTTTGAGTGCTGTATCAGGGGTTTTTCCTTTGTTTCTCTTAAGAATTCATTATCAATAATGGATAAACCCTACCTGTCACTGAAGTGAAAATGTAATTTATGACTATGCTTTCATGTGGAGACAGCTTTCCCTATATTAGGGTGGGATACTGACCATGATTGCATTGCAGAGTTGATGAAAGCAAATTTAACATCATTTACTCAGTTTTTGTTGCAAGGGACATTTTACTTGATAAAATGTTGACCTGAACTTTCATTTGCCTTTGGCTGAGTGATTATAGCTTCCTTGTGCAACTTTACTTTGCTTGTTTGGGCTTCACCAGCAGAGGGTTGGTTACACATCCTGCTTGCCTTTCCTTTGCAAATTGGTGCTTTGATTTTTTTTTTAGGAGGTTTTTCTATGGATAACTATTGAAGATATTTACCTGTTGCTTTTATACTTAGAGAATATGTTTTTTCATGCTTCTTAGTTATCTATTGTACTTTAATGGCTTTAATTATTGGATAAGGATCTCCATGAAAGTAGAATGCTGAATATTTGGCAAAATAGCTTTTCTGTACTTTCCTAGAAATTACAAGATTTATATAGATAATTTGCATTTTTACTTGTTTTGTTACTTTGCACTAGAATTTCTTTTTATACATCTTTGGTTTTAGTAAAGAGAGGTCACCATGATTTTAAAACAATAGCACATAATAAATACAGGATTCTGGATGAGTAACCATGGTAGGGGAGTCTGGATTATGGAATATGGGATTGGAAAACATAGTACATAGGTCATTGTAAGTTCTTTAAGTTTGATTTGGATGATTTTTTTCATGGGTTCTAATTACATTATTAAAATATCTGGCCAATTATAGCATTACACAATGATAATAGTATTGTGATTAATTCTATGCATCAGAGTGCACATACTGAAAAAGTATATAAATAGTAAGTTGAGTATTTGGGGACATAATTAGTGTGACTAGAGGACCAAGATATGCATTCCCCTAGGGGTTTCTCTGTTTTTGATGGTGATGGGAATCTTGCCAGTGGGTAAATATCGACACTATCAAATGAAGTCCTGTGCTACAGACAAAGCATTCCCATGAGCTAGGCTGTAGGTTTTACATTAATTACTAGCAGTTGCATTCTTTCTAAGAATATTGTAAGGATGTCTATCCATAGGGATTTTCTTTCAAATTGGGCTTTACAGAATGATATTTTTGGGGAAATAAATGTCTAAAGAGCCCAAAAGACAAATAAGTGGATCAAAAAAGATGTGGTATATATATATATATATATATAGTGGAATGCTGCTCAACTATGAAAAAAGGTAAACTTTTGCCTCTTGTGACACCATGGATGGAACTGGAGGGGATTGGCTTAAGCAAAATAAGTCAGGGCCCTCCCTGGTGGTGCAACAAGTTAGGATATAGCACTGCAAGCTGGCCACAGCCATTACAGTGTGAATTCGACCCCTGACCCTGGAGGTGATCCATATGGCGCAGCAGACCTTTCCTGACTCTCCTTCTACTCCCATCAGCAGTGTACTTTGCCAGTCTGCCTGTTCTGCTCCCCACTCTGTCTCTGGTGAATCCTCTCTCAGCCCCTGCACCTCTGGTTTTGTACTCCAGTTTTGTATGCATAAGTAAATCAATGAATCTTTATCAAAAAAAAAGTCAGAAGGAGATAGACAAATTCCAGGTTATGTCAGTTATCTGTGGAATATAGAGAAACAAAGCACGAGGTCATGTAAGATCAAATCAACAAACCCTAGAAATGTGACACAGAATGGAGGCTACCAGGGGGGAATGAGGAGCGTGCAAAGGGGGAAGGGCCTCTGTGGGCTGCAGAGAAGGACTGTGAGTGCCTTAGTAGTATGTGTGATGTGACAACACACATATGAAAGGTGTGATCTGTACATCTAAATCATGTTGTTTACAGCATTGTATAAGAACAAATCCCTCAATTAAAAAAAAAAGATACACTTAATACTTAATGTCAGTGAATAAATTTTACAAACATTTTATTAAATAGATTTTTAAATTGAAATATATATATATAGCATGGTATAAATTTAGTGTTGATTTTATACATTTACATATTATACTATGATTACCACTGTAGATTTAACATCTATCACATCATCTAGTTATTATTTCTTTTTGTTAAAGGAATATTTACCATCCAGTCTTTTTTTTTCCCTTAAAAACAATTTAATTTATGCATACAAGAACTTGGGTACAGGCCAGAGGTGAGAGGATTCACCAGAGACAGAGTGGGGGAGCAGAACAGACAGGTCTATTGAAATACACTGCTGAGGAGAGCAGCAGGTGGGTCAGGAGAGGTCTGCTGTGCCATGTGGGCCACCTCCCTGGCGGGGGATCGAACTCATGCTGCTGTGGATAGCTTCATAGCAATAGTGCTGTGTTTTAACCCCTTACTTTGTCAGGGAGGGCCTTAACATCCAGTCTTGTAACAGTTTTGAAGTATATAATATGCAACTGTTGAAGGAAGTAACTGTGTTATGCAGTGGCTGTTCAGAGTTTCACTTTCACAAAATTGCAAGTTTGTACCTTGAGCAGCATCTCTTCAAATTCCCTACTCCCCAGCACCTAGTATTCCATTCTGTGCTTTCCTGGTTTCCATGAGTTTGACCATTTCAGTAGGTGATCCTTTATAGTTGAAACTAAATATGGGGCTTCTTGGCTATGTACTCTGAGCTTCCTATTGGAATAGTTGATCAGCAATTTTCTGGGTTTGAATTACAGAGGGCAAACTAATCAGTGATGTAGTTATGTGTATCAGCTTAGGAAACAGGGACTAAAAAGGTTATTGGAAGGCTAAAAGTTACATAGAATCAGGATGCCAAAAACAGTTTGGAAGCAAGTAGAACTCAATTAAATAAGAAAGCAGGAAGAGAATGAGAGGATACATAAAGGTAGCTCATTACTTCAAGCGCCAGCCACCTAAAAAAATCCACCCCCAAAAAAATGAAGGAGGTTCCAAAAGTTGTTAGTG